AATTAGATGACATCCGATTGGCGTGCTCAATGAATACTGATGCGAAATGGTTTCGTTGCTCCAGAAGATAATTCGCCTCAAAGTAAGATGCTTTGCCGACAGACCGACAAACCTCAGCCTTGAAAGACTGTGCTGAAATGATCTGCACATGGTATGTGTCCTCAGCAGATACCTCGTCCATAAACGTAAGCTAGTCATGGCGAATACAACGTGGCACAGCGAAACTCATTTCTGATAAATGCACATCACGCTCCCATGGAGGAGCCACGACTGCCCATTCCAGAAGCTGCAAAATGACCGTCGACTTGCAGTTTCAGTAAACGGAACCTGAGACTGTAGCAATGCGCTATAAGGCAAAGCCCGATATCTGCTCAAGCAATAACTTGAAATGACCTAAGACCAATGAGGCTGTGCAATATGGCACTAAATGTAATCCTTGGGGTGTTATACACAAATATACTATGGTAAACAAATGTAGCTGTTGTTTACACGTTACTCTATGAGGAGGACTAGCTCCCCAAGTATCTTTCAGGAGACAGCCATAACGAGCAAAATGGTATCTGTCGTATCATTGCTTAAACAGCATGCAATCGTGTTCTGCTTAAATACCGCCCCCCCCCCTTTTGTGGGAAACCCAGTTTAAGAGGACGGTGCAATAGAAAGTAAAATCTGGTCGTAGAGGAGTTATGTGCTGAATAAACGCGAATCAAATATATTTTGCCGCATTCACTTACTTGAGGTGCGCAGTCAACGACGCAGACTTGGCCTCGTTGAATGACTTGCCTGACTGAGTCGAACGTGGTGCCATAGAAATTGCCGTTATATTCGCCCCATTCCATGTAGACGCCGGCATCGATATCTTCTTTCATTTTTTCTCTCTTGAGGAAATGATACTCTCTGCCTTCCTGTTCGCCGTCATGAGGACTGCGGCTTGTGTCTATAAACGAGCGGCGTAATCCACTTCAAACCATCAACCCTGTCCAAGTACGCACATGGCACAACCATGGCGAAGTGTACGGGGTCATGCTTGATCAACTGCGACTTCAGCGTTCGTCGTCCAACGCCCTTCGCGCCAAGCAATACCAGCACTCTGCGTCCGTAGGGCGTCGCTCGCACCACCTCCTCGTAGAACTCCACTTGTTCTATTTTACTATCTAAAACATGTGACATTCAACGACGGTGTCAGTCATGCGAATTACTCTGACGTAACGCTTATTGACTGTTCGATTATAAATATGTAATGATCAAGTTCAATGAAAGAACAAATAGGCGCTGACGATCAGCGATCTGAAAAAGCAGAACAACTCAGAGGCCATTGCATCGCTTAGTTTCAGGGAACGATCCAAAAATTGACTGGGAAAGTTTTCAGTACAATTCTTTTGAGGGAACTGTCCCCGGACCATAGATGCCTTGGAAG